TTCCTTACACCTCGCCAAATATTTCCATACGACCAAGCGTCTCGAATGGTCTCTGCTGAGGAAGTCTTACTCACTGCTTCTCGTGGTGGAGTGTTTTTCCACCAAAGTGAGAGGACGAGTACCCGACATCCGGTTGGTGGACTACTGGTAGTTCATCTAGGGGAGTTGACCAAAAACCCCGATTCCAAAACAACTATGAGGAGGCTTACAAACCACACACGCACACCTTTTCGGTTGTAGCATTGGTCACTGGCTCAATTGGGCATTAAGGTGTATTCGGCACTTTGGATGTTTCACCCCGTCCAACAGGCGTATAATCCGATATGCCGGCTCCCAATGGATTACGGTTTTCGCACACCGCCTCGCTGCTTTGCAGGTCAGGCTTTGGTTAGCCAACGGCTCCGGTTGTGGCCTGGGCAACCTGGCAGTATTCCATCCACATGCAAATCACGGAAAATTTTTCTTTTCATTAAGATTGTTGTACCATGATTTGTTTGCTACACAGTCTGGCCTCAGACAACCCGGAAATAATTGTTTTCCTTTAGATATTTTACAATGGTACCGATTTTATGACCTTTTTGGGGAAGAATTCAAGATGACTTTTAGGTATTTTTATATACCAGTCAGTTTTCCATTATCATCCTTACGAGAGGAGGTTGGCTCTGTATTTGTAATTTTCCAGCTTCCGGGTTGTCCTTGACTTGTCAGTGTGTGTTCTCCCTACGGATAACGATCTAGTAGATTGAATCATCTGTCCAAGCATTCTTCAGTTTAATTTAAATGCGGTGGAAATGTTTGTGATTACTGACAAAGAATGCACTGGACAGCAGCTGTTTCGTCCTGTTTGGGACCCGTCAGTAGTGCGTACATTTTGTGTCCTTGTCAGGACTCGAACCGCGATTCTTCGGGCTGTGACTTCAAACTCCTACCACCTCTGAGCTACACGGTCGACGGTCATCACCTTGTGCGAATGGCTCAAGCAATTTAGACGGTGAATGTTTGGATTAGCCCATTCGGATTTCCAAAGGTACCAAGTACTGTTGATGATTTTGGGTATGGGTTTCACTCCTTGGGAGATTGTTGATTCCCCACTATTTGAATGCATTTAAATGCGATGGAGATGTTTGTGATAACGGTATTCACTAATGCTCGTTTGGAACCAATGATGAATAGCAATACTACAAAGATGTTACTGCATTTGCACGAAATAGACTGACAGGGATAAAACCCTTATACTTAGGATGGTGTTGATGGTGGCGCAGTAGTTTAGTCATTGTCGGTGGCGTACTTTGGACTCTGTGGTCCGAGGCTCGCGCCAACCACCACTGGCAACCAACTTTGGTGGTAGGTAGCTTTGCTGTCGTCCGGTTCAATACCACCTAATTTTCTTCAGTTTATCTAGTTATGACAAATGATGTGCTCTCACTGTTGTTTTGGTTACTGTTTATCAATCCACTTCGTTAGTCATGTATGTGACAATGTCCTGTTTATTGGGTCAGCCATCAGAACCACTCAATCGGCGATTGTTCTGTCTCTGCAAACTGTTCGGTCATGTCTATAGATCTCAATCAATAGGGGATCATAGCAAGAATATTCATTTCTAGTTAAATTATTGTAATTTATTTTTACTTCCTGTTTTTATTCATTGAATATACAAATGTACAGTCAACATTCAGGAAGGGGACCGCAGCCATACAAAGGCTACCTGGGAAGGTACCGAACGAAGTAGGGAAGACGGGTGGCAGCGGTGGAGCGGTTCGAACCCTAGAAATCCGGGTTACTATTTTGATAATCCTAACTAGTTTACCCCCCCCCCCCCCCCCCCCCCC